ATCCAGCAATGCTTGAATGTTTGTCATCAACACATTGTGCGAGTCCTTCAAGCTTTCCAAGACAGCTGAAGTGCCGCTGCGCACTGCGTCGTCGATGCAAAAGAGGTCGCACATCACCTTCGAGAGACCGAACTGTATGGGAAGGCAATCCTTCCAGGACGCCTCTGCCAGTGCTTTCAAATCCTTGTTGTAGGATCCGGACATTTCTGGAACGGTCCTTGGAACGAAAAGCCCAAAACAATGGAGAAAAACGTGTGAGCGCTTTGCCAAAGCAAAAAGCTTTCAAGCCAAGCTTCTGCTTCGTGAGCGCTTTGCTCATGTTCTTGAGCTGCGCGGGCTTCGGCGGATCCCTGGTGACTGGGTCCGGCTTCTTGTACTTCACGCCCACCTTAACTGTTTTGATAGCGTCAGAGCCGATGAAGGTCTTGAATGGCTTTGATCCTCAACTCGCAGCACAAAACTCACCAATGATAGAATGAGGTTGCACTCCCTATGGAAAGTGAAACGGTGAGAAGGCACAAATCCAAGTTTCCAGACATCAGAAATGTGACGCCACAAATCCAAGGCCATGCTGAGAGCACATGGATGTCAAGGATTTTTTTAAAGTTGACTTAATGCTGCCTCAGCTGGCTTCATGCCAATGATTATATTGGCGACAGCGGCAAAGAAGGGTGAGGTGGAAACCGAGCTGGGGACCTGCAAAGTACCCATTTTAGTGAGAGAGGAACGCAATCCTATAGGCCAGCCGCAAGGGCAAGCTATGCCACTGGTTGGAAGGACTCAGCAAGACCAAAGACCAAAGACTTGGGAACATTGCAGCACAAGGCCGAAACATGGGAGTACTTAACAGTCCGACACAAAGATTGGCATTGGCACCCGAGCGAGCAGAAAACTGTGCATGGATGAAAAAACACTGCATAACACAAATAGGTGGTAAAGGATCCATCACAGCCAATCCGTTCAACTGAAGCGACAGTGCAAGGCAACCAGTTAATGCTTGACGAAGAGAGGTGACAGGCCAGAATTTTGATTCTTGTTGCACAAACCTCCTGGACAAGAACTGCAGTTCATCATCTTCGGGGGAATGCAATCCAAATGTCCGCACAATCATGAGTTTTGACATACATTTGCGCTGTGAAACGAGCTCCTAACTGAGGGGTCAAGTTGGTTCAGCGGCTTTGCAAACACCAGGGGCATCTGGACACGCATTCCAACTGGGTGCGTGGTCCTAGATATGCGGTTGTTACAACCAAAGGATTACAATTTGCCACCATTCAATGAAAACAAGTGTCCGATCTCCTTGAAGGTACTGGTGACGAAGCGCAAGGAACTGTCCTTGGACTCTCGAACTTGCCCCCAAACAAATCCCAGTGTCAGCACCACTCAAAACGATGAACCAACCAACAAAACATTTTAATTGAAGGGAGGTCTCTAAAAACCTTCGTGCGAAACTTTTCTTGGCTGCTTCCTCAATCACGCCCTGTGCCCGATCTCTCACTTGATGCTGAGCATTCTCGGCCTCAGACGTTGCGTGCAGATCACACCCGTTGCAGATTGCACCGACCAACAGCAACGATGAAACACTACACCGGTGCAACCCTTCCCGGTCCAACCGCCGCAGGCACCACTGTCGTTCAACACGATGCCGAAGGGTTTACGTTTTCGTGTCGGCCTGTCGTTCTCGCCACCCCGACGTTCAATTCTGGGTCCGAGAGGCCCCTTTGGCGCCAGGCTCGGCATAGCTTCCCCAGGGGATCATCCCCGCCACGGCGGCCGCCAGCTCCAAACCCAGCGTAATCTCATCAATCCTTGGGGGAAACCCTTCAAGTTCCTGTGAAAAGTGGGGCAGTGGCACAGGGGGCCGGCCCCTGAGCCGACAATCTGAGGTTTCCTTCGTTGCCAGTGAAGGATTAAAACAGAGTAATTATATAGAACTGAACTGTCACTAGAACTGTCTTCACAAGAGCTCGAACTTCGCCCAAACTACCCATGGAACAGATCATCCAAGTGTCTTGTTCGTCTGCTTGGTGATCTCTGAATCGATTTCGCGTTTGTTCACTCCTGTCATGTCGTTCAAAAACCTCCGTTGCTGGCTGCGCTCCGCGCACTGCCAGAACGCCTGGAGTGGTCGGTTCGACCGTTCTGCCCTTTCTTCGATCAGGCCGCGAGTTATTAAAGCTTTTGTTTTAGTTGATTAAACTTGTCAATGTTGACATATGTTGACTGTTAGAGTATGTTAGATTATAAACCGAAAAGTTGTGAACATTTATCATTTATAGAGCACCCCTACCTGGCTGGCTAGTCTAAAATCTCCATTTGTCTCTCCCTCTCTCTCCCCCTCTCTCTCGCTCTCTCTCTCTCTCCCATCTCCCTCTCTCTCACCTTCAAACATCTCCATTATGGGAAATAATTTTCAACAGTCTGGCAGCCAGGACATTCCAAGTATTTCAAGCATTTGGGACGTGAGTTCCCTCACATTCCAGGGCGCGCTGTGAACCGATGTATCGTACCAAACCGGCAAACCTCAAAAACCCTCTTGATTGACCTCCTTGCGTGGGTGTGAAATGCAGTGGTTTTACTTGGCAATTCTGTTTCTCTTCCATGCCTGCTCTGTAATCCCCTTGGGCAACGGGATCTCAGGCTCCGGATTCAGTTGGGCAGGCTGAGCGTTGAAGACATGAAAGCATGGGTTGGTCTCTGACATGGACTCGCCGTCGGTGTAGAAATAGGGGTTCTGCAAGTAAGCTGGGTCGCAATACTCCTTGTAGTCTGGTTGAACTGGATGGAAGGCCACAAGTTTGGGTCGCGATGGCTTCTGCTTGGGAAAAGGTGACTGTAGCTTTGAGGCTGTCCTAGGCACTAGGACGATGCGCTTCAAAACTCCAGGAAACAAAGCACCATCTATATATATATATATCTATATCACATCTAATCTAATCTCCAGTATATCTGAGTATATCAAGGTCGGACATGCAGTGCTTAAAACTGAATTGGACGTGGCATTCCTGAACTAGTTGCCTAATCAGCCGTCATATATATCCTGCTACCAATTTGTAGCCCCATCTAAGTGGACTTCAGAAATCCTACAGCAGCCCTGTTGCACTAATTGCTTTAAGGAACTGCTTTCAATCACCTGGAGTGCCTCCCAAGTCATGCGCCGAGCGTCACATATGCCGCTGTCAGCGGTTCAATCAAGGTCGCCGAGAAGGAGCTCTCCGTGCCATTGGCGGTGACAGGCGAGGCCTCGGTCTATGTCGGCTTGGGGGGCTGGACATGTTGGAACAACATGCTTTTTGTTCTTTTTCCAGGCACGAACAGAATGGAACAGCACCATGGAATACAGTATACAGCCACCGCATACCACTGGGCAAAGCGTCATCATCACCAGGTAGAGATGCAACCAGTTGTCCATTCTTGCGGATCTCCCATTGTTCGACGAAGCGGTTCCAGCTCAAGGCCGGAACCGAATCCCTGCCAGGGTGGATGAAGCTGCGACTGGCCAGAATGGCCCTCTAGTTTTCAACTGAATATCCCCTGCGTCACCTAAGTCACTGACACACCATGTCCGTCAACTCGCTTGTGCATGAAAGGAAAACGGCACAAGCATGTCGTATACCTTCACACGCTTGCATCAACTCACGTACGCACTGGCCCACTTGTGCATGAACATATGGGATGACAACAGTTGATAGTGCCTATGGGGTGGTCGTAGGGGATGGGGGTGGAACTTGCACCTGACACACGGGCCATTACAACGCGCTTCCGACCATACTTGTTTTGCCTGTCCCAATGCGGCTTACCAAAAAAGACGTGCGTAAGGGAGTCGTTGGAGTGGATTCATGTCGACCCAAATTGAATTTGGTTTGATCGGGCAACCTGAGGAGCACTTCTCCAACCCTTGTGAGGCCCCACCTCACTGCCCTTGTGAGGCCCCATCCCTGACTTACTGCGCGTATCTTGGCCTCCTTCCCCCGACTGCCGCCTCTCTCCGGCTCGGGCTTTCGGGGAGCCCAGGCTGGGGATGAAGGTCTCTTGGTAGGTGGCAGCACCAGTGACGTCAACGCCAGTGGGGCAGTAGTAGCCTGAGAAGTCCTTCCCAAGAGCCAAATGTCAATGCCAACCTGTCTGGTTCCGTTCTCCTCTCTATTGGCAAACGAATAAACAAACAGGAAGTCAAAGCCTGAAGGAGACCGTCGCATTCTTGAAACACGTACTGCTTTCAGTCATGGGGAGGGGCCTTGAGGTTACCAGTTTGCATCCTTTCACTTACCATGGCACATGAGTTTTGATGAGCACTAGACTAGGATACAGTCTAGCAGACGATGCAATGGAACTCTGTGGGCATGTTTGGTTTGGGTTTAGGCCCAGGATATTTGCTTAGAATGGTGCCTGTTCGCATAATGTCCAGTTGGGCAATTTGGTTTTGCCATAGAACTTCTGTAAAGACATACTGATATACTGTATTACAATTTCACCATATTATTCCAAGGAATTGCACATATTGGCAAATTGTGCATCACAAATGATGTGTGATTGCAACTTCACGGTGTCCAATGAAGAAAGAGAACACTCTACTCTTACAAACTGATGAGTTTCAATTCCTTGAATCAACTTCCAAGAACTCCAATGCCCAAGTGATACTCAAGTGGTCAATCCTCGTGCACTGCACTGCGTCCGTCCTGATAAGGCAAAGTGCGGCGCACTCCGTCAGTTAAGGCCATGCCCAAACGCCTCACAAATCTTCACAGGCTGGAGAGGAGCTGGGAGTCTTCTAGGCACATCCAGAGCACCTGTATACCAAACACCTAAGCAACATCCTCCTCAGCCCCCTTCACAAGGGGGATTAACGAAAGGCAGGAATTGAAGTGCTCTTCTCCAGTGGCTGTTCCAGAAAGAGGAAACACTGTAGTTTTTATGGGACCTGCTTATGACTTCTGGTTTGGTGATTTGAGTTCGTTATTGCGATGGTCAGCAAAGATCTGAGATCTGCTTATTCGTCAAGAAGCTGCGAGGGACAAAAGCAACGAACAGCCTCAATAGTGCGACGAACACGGCGAGAGACGAGAGGGTAGAGAGCAAACTCCGGATGAGGCAGCTGAAGCAAGAGAGGTGCACCCAAGCTGAGGTCAAAAAGGGACAGAGATGAGCTTGTATGAGACCAAGTGCCAGGACTTGCTGCAAAGAAAACAACCAGGTGTGACTGCATCAGGATTGCTCTGTCACATCATCGCTCGAGTCGACAGGGCGGGAAGAATCCCCTCGCTGGACATAAACCGTCTTTACTTTGAACGATAGTTGTTCAGCGATATCAGTTCTCGGGCAAAAAGTCTTATATCCAAACAAGAAGGCACGCAAAATGACCTTGGCTGCATGTATAATATGCTTGCCAGCGGACCACCTCTGCTGATTTGGCATTGGCATTGGCATGATAGAAAAACACCAAAAGGCCATGTCAAGAAATGTCAAGAAGCAAGGCACCAATGAGTTTAGATTGGTAAGCGAACAGGGGACAACCTCTCTCTCTCTCTCTTGTTTATCAAGTTCGCTCCAAAAGGAAGAGGTGCATGCGGCTGTTGACGTTCGTACATCCGAATGTGGGCTTCAAAGGTTGCCAGAGATGAAGCCAGCAGCCGTGCGAAAAACTGGATCTTATTGCATATCATTCGTTCAACAAATCATCTGGGTGATATTGGTTCAACAACATGTTTATAACGATTGGCTTTTGTCCAGCTACAGTTTTCAGTACGGTGCCGCTTCTGTCAAATGGGTCATTTACAATTACTCACGAGATCCAACTTGGACAGGTGCCGATTCAGGGGATTTCTTCCATAGAACATTCGAACAAAAAGAAGTGTGCAAGCACCTTTCCAGGTAGCAAAAAAGTCAAGAACATACTTGCTGCCCAAGTCCCAGCCTTATGTGGAGACATTTTTACTCTCCAAGCTGCCGATAAACAATGTTTCCTGAAAAGAACTGATACTAAACTTAATGCCTCTTTGGCACCAAGCAAGAAACAAACGGTGTATATGTGCGTTGGACAACCGACCTCCGATTCAATGTGCACGACTGGACGACCATCGTCCGACCTCTGCAACTGGCAACAGCCGATCTTGAACTGGTTGGAGTCGAAGCTCACGCTGACCACCTGGGAGTTCTTTTCCTCTCCGGTGACAGAAGCGAAAAGAGGCACGGACGAGTGCGGGACGAAAGAGGGACGATAAACAAAGAACGGTACACTCAAAGATTCTGTTTATTGACGTGAACATTTGATTTGTTAAACATCTAATCATATGAACAATTACATATGACACTTGTTCTAATCATAATTAATCTACACATGAAGCGCAATTGATACAATTCAAAGGGCAACTCATCCAGGCCACGACCCCTCCCCCCTGGCAATAGGAGGTGGTTGGCTGCTCACAGGATGACAAAAGAGGAGTCGACCGGCAATAAAGCCGCAGTCCCGTGGCATTCCTGGGCCCTCCCAATGCTCCCGCTTTCACTTCGATCCTCAGGATACGATCGCCCACCCGCGCGGCGCGGGTTTTCAATGGAGAACCCGATCCCCATGTGTCCAAGGCAACATACGAGAAGAATGTCAGATGCAATTGTCTTTCAATGGCTTAGAAAGTAACACACGATATCACACGATCAAGTCACAAGCACCTGACAAAGAATGCCGAGCACCAACAAAGAATTGGATTTCAAAAAGAATCCAAGGATCCCAGGTAGATTGTACCAACCACTCACGGCGCTTCCATCTGGGCAACTCATCGAACCAGAAAAGGCATAGAAGGTCTTTTCCTCGGATCAAACCCGAAGGTTCCATCCATCAGGGCTGGCAAGAAATGTCAAGCATGGACTTCCAGTGAAGTATCAAGCATGGACACCGACGACTTGTGTTCTTCTTTCTGCCTAAGGCTCCGATAAGGCATCCACCTGGAGGCAGTAGGGCATGGTGGTTTGATCCGAAGCCACGACAGCCCCTGAAGGGCACTTGATGCCCCAGGGTGCCCCACCTCGTGGACAGCACAGTCCGTTGGATTGGTTCCTATTAAGAATCACATGAACTTACTTATCCAGGACTTGACGTCCACTGCAAGCCAGAACAATGCATGTTCCACAGTTCCACATGGTTCCACCATGTTCCACCTTGCATCAGGCTGGCAAAACCCACCATGTCAGCAAACGCCGCGTCGTAGCCAGTGTAGTTGAAGGGTTCTTGGTGTGGATCGCCGAAGGGCGTGGCGTAGTAGGCCAAGCGAAGGATGTGGCTCAGCTGCTGCATCGTCATGCCTCCTTTGGCCGTGTTCCGGGCGATGGGGTCCATCGGAGCAGAAGGGTCCATCCTCAGCATCAAGATGACATGAAATGAATGCTGCAAAGCCTGCCGCCGGAGAATCTTCAGCTGAGTATCAGTACCGGGCAGTTTTTCTCCGTCACCAGGGTCTGAAAGCTGTTCTTGAACCTCAACATGGCATTGGTCATCTTTGTAGATTCAGTCCATTGCCAGGGAACATGTGCATGCGGAAGATGGGGGTGTATTTGGGAGTATGTATGCATTGGGCTTCATGTTCCCATCCACATCTACCGAAGGCACCATGCATCACCATGCGCTCCGAGGCGCAAACTGGTGGCCTCAAACAAGTCACTGGACCGCACGGCAGCATGGCTCGCACAAAGAGTCGAGATATTTCCATCCAGCAATGGCCCCTCCGCGTAGCCTTGCCAATCTTCATGGGGGAATCAACATATACTTTGCATGTTTTTTTCGGCAGGCACATGACTCTATACTGTCGCAGACTAATGTCCCTGGAAAAAAACCTTGCCTGGCAAGCACGTGAAAAGGATTTTGTCGGAGTCATCCGTGGTGATATGTATGGCTGGAGATCTTGTGTAGGCCTTCTGTTCCTCGCATACCATTGAATGTCGCCAATCTTCACAAAAAAAACGGAACATTGTCCAACGAGAGAGTCTCTGAATTACCAAGTGGTCAACGGACTTTGTTCTTTGCCCTAGTCATCGTTTGTATGATTGGGTCCTTGGGCGACAGCTGTGGCCAGCTAGGGATTGAAAGGTTGAGACGCTCTGCCTCTGCATCGGGATTTGGAGTTTCGTGCATGGCCACGGAGAGAGATGCTTCGCAAGTACCCAGTTCCATCCACGCAGAAGACTCATTCTGCTGATTTATCCTCTCAATTTCCCAGCTTTGAGTCCAAATATCCGTGCAATCCTGCAGACATGAGGTGGCATGAAAGAAGTAGCACCAGGATGCACAACATTTAGGTGCGATAGGATCTCTGAGAACCTGATGTATGTTCACCACTTAGCATATCTCTGATGGTTTTGAAAAAACCTAAAAACAACAAATGAACAAAACATGCAAAAACAACAATACAAATAAACACGTCATCGAAAGGCGCCAAACCAAAAAACGACAAAACAAAAAACACGAAACAACAAAAGGCAAACAAAAACGTGTAAAAACAAAACGAACAAACAACACACAAACAAATGCAAAAAAAACGCCCCCCCTCAAAAAAAAACGAACAACAGATTATGTGTTTTCTTTTCAATTGTTTGTGTGCCTTTATTTTATTCCCCACCTGCCAGGTGAGGGTTGTTAGATTTTATCACAGTTGTTCTTCCTCCTTCCTTCCTTGCTTCCTTCCTTCCTTCCTCCTTGCTTCCTTCCTTCTGCCTCCTTGCTTCCTTCCTCGCCAATCTTCATCGCCTCGCCAATCTTCATCGCCAATCTGCTTCGCCGATCTTGTCTGGCCAGCTCCGGATCGCAGTGTGCACCCCTGGACCTCAACCGCAAGGATCCCCTCGCAGTGTGCACCCCTGGACCTCAACCGCAAGGATCCGATCACAGTGTGCATCCCTGGACCTCAACCGCAAGGATCCGATCGCAGTGTGCACCCCTGGACCTCAACCGCAAGGATCCGATCGCAGTGTGCACCGCTGGACC